GGGCAGCATGAAGAAGCATCATCCTCCTCACCACTCCGTGCAGGGCACCTTCAGCAGGCTCTTCGGCAGGAAGCATGCCCAGGGTGCCGCCGCCGCCTCGCTCTTCGCCACCAACCCGCCCTGGATCTTCGCCCAGGAGGTCACCTCCGAGAGCGCTGGTGGCACCGGTCAGTCTTTCTCCCCTTTTTATTGTTATTATTTTTTAAATGCTGCTTCTTTTATGCTTTGCCTTTTTATGGTGCTGCAGCTGGGGGTGGGGGGTCCTAACTGTCCTATAGGTGCCTGGTCATGGGTGATGGCCACCAGGGGAAGGGTGACTCGGCCACCACTGCCACGGTCCTTGTCTGTGTGGTGGTGAAAATCAAGAAGCGATCTAACATGACTGGGTTATGAAACTGCAAGTTTCAACCTCTTTAAACCTTGGAATAAGTGCTCTGTAAAGTTAAGGAAAATGTAAAGGTTTTTAATCAGCCACCATCTCCTTAAGACCAACCCTCAGCTCTCTTGGGACCATAATCCACTCTATGAAGTTGAACTTGCTAAAACAAACCAATAAATGGTCAGAATCTGTTTTATCACTTATAGTAGTTCCCCTCCCAAACCATGTTCCTTCCCAGGTTTTAGTAATTTACCTGTAAACCTGTTTCTTGAAGGACTGTGTGTGTGTGAGCTTGGGGGAGAGGAGGGGGTTGAGGTGTGTATAATCTTCAGAATTTATTTGTGTTTCTTTTGTGGTTTTAATGGCAGTACTATGCCCTGGAGGCTCATGTAGGAGGGTGCCAGATTAATAGTACTGGAGCCAAGCGGATAGAAGATAGTTTGTGGATGCAGTTTAGTTGCTCTTAGATTCCAGTGAATACTTAGAAACTTAGAAATGGGAATGCTGCTCGCTGGACTGTGCAATGCGCAGGGGTGTCCATGAAAGCTATTGCGAATAGGTTACATGCTGAAGGCCAGCTGGTGAAACTAAGATAAAATATGAAGGAAAGTTTTGTGCAACTTTAAAATTAAAAAAAAAAAGTGATTTCTAACTGTTGCAAGTCTGAGAGGGATTCAAGCTTCCCTCTGATGTGGTTTGCTTTTTTTAAAAGAAAAAAAAAAAAAAAGGGGGGGTGGTCAGTGCTCATAGCTGCATGCCTGTGGCTCAGGAGCCCGGGGGCAAAGCTTCCGGCACCCTGGTTTCTGCAGGGCGACAGCCCTTCCCGGCGAAGACTCATCCCTGTGCCAGGCCTTGCTTCAATGTTTGCTGCGTAGATTCCCTTGCCAAAAGGAGTCCACTGCTTACTCTAATCCCCACCTTAGTGCTTCACGCAGGGTAAACACAGGTTAAGCAATGTGGCATGGGTGGAGGTTTGCCATGTCCCTGACTCAGATTCCTGAACGTAGTGACTGATGCCACCTCTCTCTGTTAGCCGTGGAGACCTGAGTGTCAAAGTAGGTGTACGACACCTACTCCAGGTGACGCAACCCCTGGAATAGGAACAAGCTCCATCACACGTGTGGCAAATTGCTTGCTTTGTTTCCCATAACTGAGAAGATACAAGAGTCTCCAGGAGAGGCCAAGTCTCAGTGACCAAACCGCAGCTGGGGCTGGCTGCTGCCGACAGCCCTGTTTGGGTGCGTTTCCTCGCTTCTCCTCCCAGGAGCAAAGCTGAGGAGCACAGGTCTTACCAGTGACAGGATCTTAGCAGGCAAGTCCTGTTTATCTAGCAAAGAAAACACAACTGCAAGCACTTCATTTTGCTTTAATTAAATGGATTCAGGTTAGAGATGCTTAGTAATCTAGGATCAAACAGCCTTGTGATCTTTAATCCACTTTCTCACTGAGTTCAGCTGGTGACTGTTTAATATAAAACTCCAGTTGCTTCAGGTCTTTGAGCTCCTCAGTCACTGCTTTCCCATTCCTGTTTCTTTGTTTTGGCTGGACAGGCACTTGCTGAATGACATCTGTGCTGCAGTGTGGTGCTAAGACATCCATCCAAATCCCAGCTGGACCTGGTTCTAAGACAAAAGCCATCCTGGCTTCCAGTCTCTCTAAATATGTGTGAGGTGGCATCTTCTCCCTCCTGCTGTATCTCTAGTCTGCCCTAATGAGAAATGTAACAGCAGTCTGGGATGGAGCCTGGGGCCTCGAGTTGTCTGTTTTACTCAGCACACCATGGTCGAGCAGCGAGCCGGGCGCGGGCTGAGCCCCAGGTCCGTGAGGGCATCACGTTTGGGGGGAAATAAGGCCTGGGAGCGCAGAGGCGTGGGAGAGATGGGGTCCTCGCCCTGTTTGGGCAGTCTCCGCCACGGCAGGAATCGAGCTGAAAGGAGATTTCTGCTCGAGTGAGCGCTGCAATGAGGTTTCTGAGGCTTGAAAATGCAGCCCATCCCTTTCCCTTGTTCAGGGAGATTATGCAACCTTCACTCTTCTGCTCTTCAGCTTTCCATTTTTATGTGATACTTGACAGAAACTTTCTGTGCTTCATGTTTTGGGATGAAATCCGTTCTGAAAACTGTGCTTCCAAACTTTTCTTTTAAAACGCTGTTTGCTATTAAAAGCTGGTGTTTAAGGGAGGAAGAGAGGTTGTTTGCTTTCTCCTCATTGAAACCGCTATCAAAATCTGTTGGGTGGGAATGTTCCCATTCGGTTTTCCCTCTGATGACAACCGTTTTGCATGCTTTCCCTCCCCTTTCCGAAACCCTTGTACTTTTCTTTACTGTTAGTCTCCTTGGCAATGAATTATTTGTATCTCTCCTGCCAGCCAAGGTGGGGTTTACATGCTTTAGTGCTTCTGCTTGTTAATTCATGCTGTTAATCAGACACAAAGAATGTGATTAAAGTGATTTTTACAAGCTTTATTCACTGTCAGAAATAAACCAGCCCAAAAGGTGTGGTTCAAGGAGAAAACACAGGGCTGAGAACCAGGAATACCTGCTGTTTTCCCTGGCTGTAATGCCAGGGCTGTGCGCCTGCCTCTCTGCTGTGGTCCCTCTGTTCATGGGGTGTTTTCTGGAAGGACGTTGAGTCTTTCCTTCCAAAGCGTCTTGGAGTCTAGGAGTGTGTTGTTAAGTGCTACTTACTGTCCAGTACTATTTGCATCAGGGATTGGAAACGAATTATCCCAGCACTGAGCAGAAGGATGCTGCTGGTGCTGAGAGAGCAGCTATGGCAGCTCCCTTGGCACTTGAGTAGCAGCAAAATGTGCATTTAAGAAAGAAGAAAAAAAAAAAAAAAACCCCATGGGA